GGAGACAGTTGCATTAAAAGGAGACAAAGAGACACTTTAATTAAATTTAATTTAATTAAATTTAATTAAATTAAAATAAATTAAATTAAATTAATGAAATTAAATTTAATTTAATTAAATTAATTAAATTAAATTAAATTAAATTAATTAAATTAAATTAATTAAATTAAATTAATTAAATTTAATTAAATTAAATTTAATTAAATTACTTGCCACTTCAGCCAGTAAGAAACTGCTGCTGCCACTTGTGTCTGCTGCAGCATCACTTCGCTTATCCAAATCCCGTACGCGCTGCGCTGCGGTGCTGCTGCTGCTGCTGCTGCTGCTGCATCTGTTCCTGCTGCTGCTGCTGCTGCATCTGTTCCTGCTGCTGCTGCTGCTGCATCTGTTCCTGCTGCTGCTGCTGCTGCTGCTGTTGCTTCCGTCTTGGCTGGCGCTGCTGCTGCGTCTGTTCCCGCTGCCGCTGCTGCTGATGTTGCTTCCGTCTTGGGTGATGCTGTTGCTGCTGCTGCATCTGTTGCTGCTGCTGCTGCTGCTGCTGCTTCCCTCTTGACTGCTGCTGCTGCTGCTGCCTCTGTTCTTGCTGCCGGTGCTGTTGCCTCTGTCTTGATTGCTGATTCTGCTGCTGCGTCTTTTCCTGCTGCTGCTGTTGCTGCCACATCTGCTGCTGCTGCTGCTGCTGCTACTATATCTGTTCCTGCTGCTGCTTCTGTTGCTTCCCTTTTGGCTGCTGCTGTTGTTGCTGCTGCAGCAACTGCTGCTGTTTCTTTAGCTTTTGGCACTGTTGCTTTCTTATCTGCTGTTGCTGCTGTTGCTGCTGCTGTTGCTGCTGCTGCTGCTGCTGCTTCTGGCGTTTCTGCTGCTTCCATATCTTCCTGCTCCTCCTCAGACACCACCACAACCTCCTCCCTCCTGCTGCTGCTGCTGCTGCTGCTGTTGCTGCTGCTGCTGCTGCTGCTGCTGGGTTGGTGCCGTTTTCCAGAAGGTACGGGCTTAAAGAAAGACACTATGGAGCGTTGCTGCTGTTGCTGCTGCTGCTGCTGCTGCCTCTTTCTCTTGCCAGTCTGTGAAGCAGCAGCAGCCACAGCAGGAGAATCAGCAGCAGCAGCAGCAGCAGCAGCAGAGGCATCCATCGTGTCTTTGCGTGTCTCCTTCCAACAAGTGTATGGCGGAGGGTCTCCTCTGCAGCAGCAAGAAGAGCAGCAGCAGCAGCAGTTAGCAAGCCCAAACTGGTGCAGCAGCAGCAGCAACAGCAGCAGGAGCAGCAGCAACAGCATCAGCAGCAAAAGTCGCAGCAGCGGCAGCAGCAGCAGCAACCGCAGCAGCAGCAGCGACAACAGCAGCAGCAGCAGCAGCAGCAGCAGCAGCAGCAGCAGCAGCAGCAAACCTCCAGGGCAGTTTCCTTCTGTGTTTTCTAAACCATCCCTTTAGTGCAGCAGCAAAAGCTGAGGGCTTCATCAAGTGTATGTGGTAGCCGCAGCAGCGCAGCGCAGCAGCAGCAGCAGCAAGAGCTTGCAGACTCTGCAAATCTTCTGCTGCTGCTGCTGCTGCTGCTGCGGGAGCGGACGCTGCTTCTGCTGCTGCTGCTGCTGCTGCTGCGGGAGCGGACGCTGATTCTGCTGCTGCTGCTGCTGCTGCTGCTGCTGCTGCTGCTTCACATGCGTCTGTTTGCCCCGCGCTGCCCTGCGCACTGTTTTCATCTGTTGCTCGCTGCTGCCGCTGCTGCTGCTGCTGTTGCTGCTGCTGCTGCTGCTGCTGCTGCTGCAGCTGCTGCTGCAGCTTAAGGCAGGCCTCGCAAGAAGTGTCTCTTGGAGGATATATTTCTTTTTGCTGCTTTTTTCTGCACTTTGCTGTACCCTCTGCTGCCTTAGAATTCCTCGGGGGGGCCCCCCGGGGGGCCCCCCGGGGGCCCCCAGGGGCCCCCACAGCAGCAGACCTTCGGCGGGTTGAGGGGGCCCCATGGGGCAATGGGGGCCCCCCTTCTAAGCATTCAATGTTGGCATTTTCTGTCTCCTCTGCTGCTGCTGCTGCTGCTGCTGCTAATGTGGCTGCTGCTGCTGGCTGTGGCTGCGTGGCCGCCTTGACTGCTGCTGCTGTTGCTGCTGCTGCGCCTGCTGCTGCGCCTGCTGCTGCTGCTGCTGCCGCAGCTGCTGCTGCTGCTGCTGCGGGCATCATGCTCGCTGCTGCTGTCTTCTTCCGGGCGTCTCAGGTGTACGTACACCGCAATCCATTTGCCCCTTTTAATTAATTCAAAAAACATTTAAAGTTTTTTATATTTAATTCGAAGACCACAAAATGCTGGGGGGCCCCCCAGCTGGGGGGCCCCCAGTGGTCTTCCGTGGTGGGGTTGATGGGGCCCCCACCACGCAGCAGCAGCAGCAGCAGCAGCAGCAGCAGCAGCAGCAGCAGCAGCAGCAGCAGCAGCAGCAGCAGCGCCTGCCGTCGCTTTCTGTTGCATAAGGGTATTTCTTTTCTATTAATTTATTTTTAATTAGTTAAAAATAATTATTATTTTTAATTAATTGAATAATTAATTTATTTCTTCATTTAATTGTATGCTTTTTTAACTGTGGGGGCCCCCCGGGGGCCCCCTAAATTAGTAATTTGAGTTTCAATAAAGGAATTAAATAATGCATTTGAATTAATAAGTTAATTTGAATTAATAAATTAATTTGAATTAATTAATTAATTATATTTAATTAATTAAATTAAATAAATTAGTTGAACAGAGTTAGACAAGTCTTAGGGGCCCCCATGGGGCCCACGGCGCAGAAGCTGAGAGCAGTGAAGACAAAGGACAAAAAAAAAAAAGAAAATAAAAAAACAAAAAAACAAAAAAATAAAAAGAGACAAAAGGAGACAAAAGGAGACTTCAGGAAGCAGCAGCAGAAGAAAGTCTTCAAGAAAAAAAGAGAAAAAATGCAACAAACAAAAAGGTACTCCCGGGGCCCCAGGGGCCCGCGGGGGCCCCTGGGGGCCCCTGGGGGCCCCTGGGGGCCCCCAGCCTCCCCGGGGCCCTCAAGAAGCTAAACCCTGTGGGGCCCCCCAGCCCCTGAACCCTCAGGGGCCCCCCACTGGACCAGCAAAGTCCCCAGGGCCTTGGGGGCGACTTGGGGGACTCCGAGGGGGCCCCCTAAGAGTACCTAAAGGGCCCCCCGAGGGTCTTTTGGGGGCCCCCAAGGGCCTCTAGAGGGTCGTAATTAGATCTAGGGGCCCCCCAATGAAATTCCGGGTTCTTGCTAGACCCTGGGGGCCCCCGACGGATCCTGGGGGCCCCCAAAGGGGCCCTAAAGGGCCCCCAAGGGCCCCTCAGGGGCCTTTCTTGGGGATAGGGGGCCCCCAAGACCCTCTAAACAAACGTAAGTGCTTCATTTGAGCATGCAAAACCCTATTTTACCAAAGGGGGCCCCCTTCTAGCGTTTGGGGTTCTTTGGGGGCCCCCTGGGGGCCCCTTGGGGGCCCCCTGGGGGCCCCTGGGGGGCCCCCTGGGGGCCCCATATTGAAACAAGGGCCCCCAAATGCCTATGAAGCTCCTACGGGGGGGCCCCTAAAAAACACTGGGGGCCCCTTGCAGTGAGGTCTGGGGGCCCCGGGGGGCCCCGGGGGGCCCCCAAAGGGCCCCCTAGGGGCCCCCAGGGCCTTCGGGGGGCCCCTAGGGGGCCCCCAAGTACCCTCGGGGCCCCCCAAAAGCCCCTTTTTTGTTTTGTTTGTGAGGGCAGCAAAGGAAAGAAATAAATGAAAAAAATTGAAAGAGAAAAAGAATTACCTAAGGGAGTCAAAGGAGACAAAAGGAGACAAAAAAGAGACAAATAAAAAGAAAAAAAGACAAATAAAAAGAAATAAAAAAGACAAAAAAAGAAAATAAAAAGACAAATAATAAGGAAATAAAGAGACAAATAGAGAGACAAATGAAAGGAAAATAAAGAGACAAATAAAAAGAAAATAGAGAAATAAAAAGGACAAATAAAAAACAAAAAGAGACAAATAAAAATGCAATTAAGGGGACAAATAAAAGGATAAATTGAAAGACAAAAAGAGACAAATAAAAAACAAAAAGAGACAAAAAGAATATCAAAAAGAGACAATTAAAAAGAGACAAATAAAAGGAGACAGTTAAAAAGAGACAATTAAAAAGAGACAACTAGAGAATGGAAATAAGAGAGAAAATAAAAAGAAAAAATAAAAAGAAATAAAAAGAAAATAAAAATAAAAATAAAGAGACAAAAGGGACTAAGAAATGGGCCCCCAGTTTATCTCATCTGTCTCCTCCCCAAAAAGCTGCGCGGCGCCCTCGGGCGGCAGCAGCTGCTGCAGGAAAGCAGCATCCGACAGCCAGTCGTCGCTGCTGCTGCTGCTGCTGCTGCTGCTGCTGCTGCTGCTGCTGCTGCTGCTGTTGTTGTTGTTGTCGGTTGTGCGGTTGTTGCTGCTACTGCTGCTGCAAGGGCCGTGCTGCTGCTGCTGCTGCTGCTGCTGCTGGCGCTCCGCTTGAGAGCAGTTCCTGCTGCCCTGCGCTGCGCCTTGCTGCTGCTGCTGCTGCTGCTGCTGCTGCTGGTTTGCTGCTAGCTTCTGCTGCTTCGGGGGCGAAGGTGTGGGGCCGCTGGAGACAGACAAAAGAGACCCTTGAGGGACTCCACTCAGAGAAGAGGCCAGTCTCTTCACAGGGGTTGAAGAGCTGCTGCTCTCCCACAATCTCTGCTGCTGCTGCTGCTGCTGCTGCTGTTGCTGCTGCTGCTGCTGTAGGTGCTGCTGCTGCTGTAGGTGCGGCTGCTGCTGCTGTTGCTGCTGCTGCTGCTGCTGCTGATACTGAGAGTCCCACTGGTGAGGGGGGCCGCTGCTTGCCGTGCCAGTATGGTGGAAGGGGACTTCCCGTAGCCAGGGCTGCTGCAGCTGTTGCTGCTGCTGCTGCTGTTGCAGCTGTTGCTGCTGCTGCTGTTGCTGCATCTGCATCGCATGGTAATACTGCTGCTGCTGCTGCTGCTGCTGCTGTTGGCTTTGACCCCAGTAAGCGGCCGCTGCACCGATCTGCGGGGCACCCCTGCTGCTACAGACGTCGTTTTTTGCAGACACAACAGCAGCAGCAGCAGCAGCAGCAGCACCAGCAGCAGCAGCAGCAGCAGAGGAGGGGGCCCCCACAGCTTGGCTCTCTTCCTTGGCCTGAGATAAGGCAAACTCGAGGGCCTCTTCCAGATCGTCCCAATCAGCCACACTCAGCCCTAAAGGAGACAGACCCCCTAGCTGCTGCAGCTGCTGCTGCTGCTGCTGCTGCTGCTGCTGTTGCTGCTGCTGCTGCAGCTGCTGCTGCTGCAGCTGCGACTGCGGCGGTGGTTGCTGCGGTGGGGGCGCGCGCGGTGCTTGCGTTTGGGGTTCTCTTGCAGCAGCAGCAGCAGTTGCGGCTGCTGCAGCAGCAGCAGCAGCAGATGCTGCTGCTGCTGCAGTTGTTGTTTCTGGTTGTGTATCCTTTGGAGCCCGAGGACCCGGCGAATGCTCTGCTGCTGCTGCTGCTGTTGCTGCTGCTGCTGCTGCTGCGTTCGCAGCAGCTGCTGCTTCTGCAGGGGCTGCTGCTGGTACTGCTGGAGGCGACAGCAGGTTCACAGACGCTGCTGCCGTTTCTGCTGCTGCATTTGCTGCTGCTGCTGCTGCTGCTGCTGCTTCTGCTGTTGCTGTTGCAGCTGCTGTTGCGGCAGCTTCTAAATTGATTGGCGCAGCTAGGGGTGTCACGGGGAGATCTGCTGCTGCTGCTACATCGTCCTGCTCTGCTGCTGCTGCAGCCGCTGCAGTTGCTCCTGCAGCAGCAGCAGCAGCAGCTGCTGCTGCTGCTGCTGCAGTAGAGAGCTGGGCGCGAGGTGTATGTACACCCGGCAGGAGCTCCTGGGAATTGCTTCCAAGTACAACTGTGGCTTGCGAGTCACAGTCGGATTCATCTCCTGCTGCTGCTGCAGCAGCAGCAGCAGCTGCTGCTGCTGCTGCAGCTGCTGCGACTGTTGGTGCTGCGACAGTTGCTGCTGCTGTAGCTGCTGCTGGCGGCTTTGCTGCTGCTACATCTGTGGGGCCGTTGCGGCTCTTAGCGCCTTGCTGGGGCTCATCTGCAGCAGCAGCAGAAGCAGAAGCAGCAGCAGCTGCTGCTGCTTCTTCTTCTGCTGCTGCTGCTGCTGCTGCTGCTGCTTCTGCTGCTGCTGTTGCTGCAGCTGCTACAGGGAAGTCAGTTGCTGCAGCAAAAGCCCTTTCAACGGCCCAAACAATCTCCTGCTGCTGCTGCTGCTGCTGGGAGTAGGCCTGTGAGTCCTCACAGAGTTTATCCCACAAAGGCAGCAGCTGCTGCCGGTGCTGCTGCTGCTGCTGCTGCTGCTGCTGCTGCTGGTCCGCAGCAGCAGCAGCAGCAGCGAAAGCGTCCTGGCTGGCAGCCGAGAATAGGGATCCTCTCCTGCGCATGCAGTGTTCCTCATTTTCCGAGAGCTGCGAGCAGTGCTGCTGCTGCTGCTGCTGCTGCTGCCGCAGCAGCAGCAGCTGCTGCTGCTGCTGCTGCTGCTGCGAGAGCTGGGTGCAGTCCGGAGTGCAGAGGAGCCTTGCTGCTGCTGCCCCCCGTTGGCTCTCCGGCTGCAGCAGCAGCACGAGGGGTTCTTCAGGGTCACTGCTTTGGAAGGGGGGGGGCCCCCCCCCGGGGGGCCCCCCCCCTGGGGGCCCCCCTGGGGATCCCGTTGGGGGCCCCCAGAGTCCCGGAGGAGACAAAAGGGTCATTTCCGCATTGCCAACTCAAACCCTAAACCCTAATAAACCCTAATAAACCCTAAACCCTAAACCCTCGTCCGTGGGCTGCTGCAGCTGTGGGGCCCCGCCGCCCATGGTGGGTGTGCGTTCATCTCAGGTGTCTATACACCCTAAACATTCACAACTCTTTGCTGCTGCTGCTGCATTGCTGCTGCTGCTGCATTGCTGCTGCTGCTGCATTGTTGCTGCTGCTGCTGCTGCTGCTCTATCCCCCACTTGCTAGGGTTTAGGGTTTACGAGGGTTTGGGGTCGGTGGTGGTGGGGTGTGGTGTTGCTGCACACCACTCCCCCCTCCCTCCTGCTGCTTCTGTCTACCCTTCTCCAGTCCAACTGCCACCACCAAACCCTAAACCCTAAACCCTAAACCCTAGTCTCTCTATCCATCTCCCGTCACTACTCTACCCACACCACACCTATTGGGGTGGTTGTTACATGTAAGTCCATTCTCGTTCCAAAACCCTAATCTAGGGTTTACAAAGTGTTATTCCGTATCCCGTATCCGCGCTCTTCTGTTTCTACGCAAACCCTACTAAATCCGCGTCTACCGACTAACTACATTCTCCAAACCCTAAAAGGTTGTCTATCAACTACAACTCCATCCCCAAACCCTAAATCAGGGTTTCTCCTCCGCCCTCCTTTCTACCAGCAAACCCTAAAACGGGGTTTCTTGTCCGTCCTCGCCGGCGTCTCCAACCCCCGCCAGCCCCAAAATAATAATAATAATAATAATACAAC